AAAAAAAAAAAAAAAAAAAAAGAATTCATGCTTGAAATGTAAGTTTTGTCTGCAGAGAATGTAGTGGGAGGCACATGCCAATACAGCCCAGAGTGAATTTCTAAGTCCCACGGTGCCATCATAGCTATTTTTCTGGTTTTCCTATAGTTGTGATCCTTCAAGGGTAGTAAGCTGGACCTACAAACACTGATGAGAAAATACAATAATTTGGAATGGGGGAAGGGAGAGGAAAAGATAAGTAGGACAAATGAAGAAACTCTTAGTTTACGGGAGGATGTTTGCCAGCTGGGAGAAGACTTCACTGTCATATGCAAATGCAACTGTGACCCTGCTGTTTTGAATATGTGCTTTGTACCCAAGTCCTGATAGAGACCTAGGCTTGATAAAGCACAATGGTTATCATTCTATTAAACGAGCAGAGAACAGATGAGCTGGGATGTAGCTTAGTGCAGACTTCTTGCCTAGCATGCATGAGGCTCAGGGTTCCATCCCCAGCCCTGAAAGAAAAAAAAAGAGAACAGTTGGGTAGTTTCTGAAAATATTAAACATAGTGTTACCATATGATACAGTAATTCTACTAATAGATACATACCCAAGGTAAATGAAAACATACATCCATAGGAAAAATTGTACATAAATGTTCAAGGCAACATTTTTCAAAATACTCAAAAGTATAAACAACCCAAATATTCTTCAACTGATAAATGGATAGACTAGGTCCGGTATATCCATGTAATGGAATATTATATAGTCAGTAAAGAAGAATGAAGTGCTGACACATGCCACAACATGACTGAACCTTGAAAACACTATGCTAAGTGAAAAAAAGAATAGTAAGCAGGCACAAATGGTATACATTGTATAATTCCATTTACATAAAATGTCCAGAATAGGGCAGAGGATATAGCTCAGTGGCACAAGTGCTTGCCTGGCAAGTGCAAGGTCCTGAGTTTGATTCCCAGTACCAAATAAACAAACAAACAAAAAGTCCAGAATAAGCAACTCTACAGAAAGAGAAAGTAGATTAGTGATTAAGTGTTGAGGGAGTGGGGGAGATGGGAAGTAACTGCTAATCAGTATAGTTTCTCTTGGGAGTGACAAGTTGTTCTGAAATTATATTTTGGTACTAGTTTTACAACTCTGTGTATATACTAAGAACCATTGACTTCTGCACTCTAAATCAGTGAACTGTAGTATATCTGAATCAGATCTCAGATTCCCCAAAATTAAACATACTATAAATCATGGATCTCAGAAAAACTTGCAAAAAGGATTGGAATATTATTTTCAAGCTTGAAACAAACAAGATTAGTAATGTATTTCATTCACATAGTACATGTATATTAAAATGTATGTCATATATTTAAAATAAAAAACAAAGGCCTAAACAAATAGGTATCCCTCCTTCCAGCACACTGTGACCGAATGTGGCCACTGAAGACCTTTGGTGCCCCACATGCTGGGGCAGGGGGAGGGTAATGGAAGTGATGGTTGGGGGCTCCTCTGGAGACTTATTGCAAGGTGGCCCAGACTTGAGCCAGGGAAGGCAGCTGTCTGCTGCTTTGGAGGTGCCTTGTGAAATCAGTGTAACCAGCCCTGGGCTGGTAGTGAATGCTGTTCTATGTGCAATATATATTTAACTGTCAAAGCTCAAGTCAAGCCATAAACCTACATTTCCATAGATCCCAGACAAAAATAAACACAGACTCCTTCCCTCTGCCTTGCTCGGATGCTGATTAGATTGCATCCTCTATGAAAAGACGAGTTCAGTCTTTCCTAAGGATTTCCTCACCGGTCCTTCAGCCACCAAGGCGCAAGTGCTTCCCCCCTGAAAGATGCATGATCCAGCTGTTCTTCTTGTCAGCTACAGCTTCTCACTAATCTTTCTGGAACAAGGGAGACAAAAACAAGGTTTAATTATCATGACCTGAACGTGTCCCTCCCAAATGAGAAGAGGATCTTTATGTATGAACACCAAAGATAACAGCTTCTTTTAACTAGTAGTGATCTGTCATTCTAATTCTTTGTTTACAGTTTTGAAGGTTGGTATGTATTTTATCTCTCAGGTCTGTAGGAAAATCTAGCCATTTGGGCTAACATGCAATGTCATGTGCTGGGGCTTGATAAATTGAGAGCTAAATGTTTTAAGACCGCTAAAGTAATAATCACTAAGTGCTTAATTTGAAAACACACACTATTCTTTTGCTCCCATAGGATGAAGAGTCCTTCACAGAGTCACACTGTAGCTCCAGGCCAGATTTTTCTTCTCCAATCTTTTGTGCCTTTGGTCTCCCAAGGCTGCAACTGACTGTCTCTGGCGCTCCCAGAATCTGCCTTCCAGAGTTGCTGGAGGCCTACTGATGAGTGTACTGGAGATCCTCATGCAAATCCTGGATGTCTGTCAGTGGACGTCACCCCCAGCAAGGCCATGGGACATACTTCTCCTGCATGGGTCCCATCTTGCAGCCGCCACTGGAAATGCTAGCTGGGAACACACAGGGGCTTTCTTGTCCAAAAGTGCAGGTCAATACTGTCTGCATCAGCTGGGCATAATGCTACATGCCTATAATCCCAACAGTCCAGAGGCAGTGGCAGGAGGATCACTATGAATTTGAGGCCAGCCTGGACCACATAGTGAGACCCTCTCTCAAACAAACAAACAAACAAACAAAAAATCAAACTACTGTCTGCATTCACAAGTTGGCTACTTCTTAAGAAGTACCAGTGCTCAACCCTGTCCTAGAGGAAACCAATATAATTTATATCAAAAGGAAAAGAAACTTGTCACATAACCCAAAGTAACCAAATGGCATCTGAACTTGAGTCCATGAATAGGTCTCTTGCAGGAAGCAGCGCAGGTAGACCTGTTGCCTGGCCCACAGCTGACAGGGGTCTAGCTGGAATCTGGATTCAAGCTTATCAGGAAAATCAAGTTTTTGCTTGGTTAAAGGGCTGCAGGAGGAAGAACAGGGCACTCAGGCCATATTCAGGCCAAGTTTCAACCACAGGGAGGAAAAGTGCAAACAACAAAGAAAATCTCCCTAGACTGAAAACTATTCTCATAATGCTTATAAATTTAAATGAAAAAAATAAAGGTGCAAAATGGATATACATTGTAAGTTTGAGCCCAGCCTGGGCCACGTAGAGACTTAGTGAGCTCCTGTCTCAAAAGTAAGAAAAAAATTAAGGGAGGATGGGTGGGGATATAAATCAGTGTGAAGGCCCTGAGCGCAATCCCTAGTACTGCCCAAAAAAGGGATAAGATATACATTCCTATTTGCTTGGTTTTGCATAAAGAAACTCTGGAAGGACACATCAGTAACAAATAAAAGTGATTACTTGGTTTGAGGGTAGAGAACTGGTAGGACAGAGGACAGGAATGGGAGCTAGGCTTTTCACTATATGCCTTTTGCATTATTATTTTTTATTATTTTTTAATCCTGTGTGAGGAAATTCTCCAGATCCTTAGGAAGCACCAAGAAACAGAATTGCTCCCTTCAGGAGCTTACATTCTAGTACAAGAAGACAGAGATAAACACATAAAAAAGCATATTCAATGGCACACTAGGTAGTTCTAAAAATAAAAAAGTGAAGCTGGGTGTGGTGGTACACATCCAACATCCCAGCTGCTCAGGAAGCTGAGGCAGGAGGCTCACAAGTTCAAGGCCAGTTTGGGTAACTGAAAAACCCTCTCTCAAAGGAAGAAATGTAGAGCTGGTGGTGTAGCTCAGTGATAAATTGCCCTGGGTTTGATCCCCATTACGTCAGGAAGGGAGGGTAGGAGAAAGAAGAAAGGAGGAAGAGAAGAAGGGAGGAAGAAAAGAAGGAAGAGAGGGAAAGGAAGGGTGTGAGGAGAGGAGCAGTTTGCTGTACCAAATAGGGTCTGCTCACAGAGGTCAGGCCTGCATGAAGACTTGAAGGAAGCAGGGGTGGAAAGAGGGATCGTTGGAGAAAACAGTGCCAGGCCGAGGGAGCAGCTTACAGTGGTGGTTTCCAACCAAAGGCAGTTTAGCTCCCAAGGAACATGTAGCAATGTCTAGAAACATGTTTGGCTGTCACAGCTGCAGGGATGGTAGCAGCATCCAGTGAGTAGAGACAGGGGTGTTGTTAACATGCTGCTATGCACGTGACAGTCCCCACAACCAAGAATTTCCCAGAGCAGCCAGATGATCCCAATAAGGAAAGTGGGTGTTGGAGCAGAGACCCTAAAGAGGGTGGATGCTGGGTACATTCAAGTGACAAGAAGGTGACAAGAGATGGAAGCTATCCTAGTCTACTTATTCTACTGACTATAGCTGCCTCACGCACTCCCACACTTCCCACAGCAAGTGTGAGCTCTCCAGAGTCCTACAAGTGCGTGAAAATGAAGAGCAATGTTCTCCTGACGGTTGTAGAACTCACAAGGCCGCGTGTTTCCAAAGGTGCACACTTCCCATTGCCAGGCAGCAGTGTGAGTTCTTTCTTTCATTCCTCCTGTCAACTCTCAGCTGCCCCAGTATGAAGCAAAGATTGCAGAAACCCCATCTGCTTAAGGCTCTATTCCCATCTCAGTTAGGGACAGAGAAAAGGTCAAAAAGAGAACAATGCTTTGTCCAAAGCCTGCCTTGGATTGGGGTGTGGTGGGAGGGAAATGAGAAAGATGAAAGCAAGTCGAAACAGTGGAAAGGAGGTGACTTTGCTTCCTTTTCAAAGAGGCTCGGGCGCTGGGGATTTAGCTCAGCAGCAAAAGCGCTTGCCTGGCAAGCGCAAGGTCGTGAGTTCGGTTCCCGGTACCGGAGAAAAACTAAAAAAAAAAAAAACAAAGAGGCTCTGGCTTGAGCAGGTTCTGGGTTCCATTCCCAGGACTGCAAGAAAGGCAAAACGCAGAATCTCAAGGAGAGCGAGGGATGGGGTGTCTGCAAAGGGTTCAAAATAGCAAGAAGCACTTAATAGTCTGTCTCTGTTGACTTGGCTGAGGAGCAGGGACTCCAGACACCTCCCGAAATTTCCCTTTCTCTCCAGTCTCCTTGTTAGCCTTTTCCCCTAGCTCTAGAAAAGTTTATTGAACTAAACTTTTGCAAAACAGAGGTGATTGACCTGAGGACTTTACTCAGCACTTCTAGCAGGCAGGAAAATACAAGGTATATTTGAATAAGTGTGACGAGTTTGATTTAGCTATCACTCAGGTTTGGGGAAGTGGTGAGCAATATAATTGGAAGTTGGGCTATTATAATATTTAATAACCAATATGCTTATAAAATTAACATATAAATCAACATATATCAGACACTTTAAATCTTCTCACAGTGACACAGCTAACTAAATTAGAGATGTGTGGGGCATGTGGCAGTCATTAAGAGCGCTTGGCTTTGGTGTCCCATCAACCTAGGTCTGAGTCCTGGCCACGCTAATTCTTACCAGCTTTGAGATCTAAGGCCAGTTATTTAAGTGCCCCGAGCCCAAATTCTACAGCTGTAAAATGAGAGTGATATTAGCAATATCACCTCAATGATATCAACCTCACAGAAATGCTGAGAGCACTGAAGTATAATTTATGCAAGGCATGAGGCCCAACAATGGTGAGAACTCAATAATGGCAGATATTACTAACATCAAAATGACTTTGCATTCTTCATAACCCAATAAGACAATAGACGGCTCGGTTATTTCCTGTAACACTGTCGTTACCAATATTTGCTTTTACGGTGACTACCTGGTTAAGAACTTTCCATCTGAATTACAGGATTACTTTAGTTAGGAGGGTCCAGCTGGAAAGGAGGCTAAAATGCCTCCAGTGTGGGCCATCCCAAGGTAAGAGTGGGGCAGGAGGACCCAAGTCAGGCAGAAGCCCAGATAACAGAGATGACATATTTTTGTACAAAGATATAAATGAAGGAAAAGTGGATTCTTAAATTGGCCATTAAAAATAAATATTAATAGGCAAGCATAGTGGCATATGTCTGTGATCTCAGCACTCAGAAGGCTGAGGCAGGAGGACTGTTTTAATTGAGGCCAGCCTGGGCTAGACAGTGAGACCCTAGCTCAAAAAACTAAAATAAAATAAATATTAACACTATTAAATTGAAATAATCTCTGAGATCTTTTAATGAATAGGAAAAGTAAACTTCAAAATCATATGAATAGGATAAGTACATGTTTCATAATTACATATGTATGTGTCAATACACAAGATGTCTTTATAAATGCATGGAATTTCTCTGAAAAGATACATGAGGTAGTTTCCTTCCTTTCTGGGAAAGCAAACTGAGGGGTGGGGTCAAGATTTGGGAAATTCTCAGGGCTGGGAATATAGCTCAGCTATAGAGCATTTGCCTCACATGGGCAAGGCCCAGGTTTTGACCCTTAGCACTACACACACACAAATCTTCAAAATTATAAACCGTAAAGTTACTGTTAATTTCATGGAGCAAAAACTCAATGTATGACAACTGAAACACAAAATGTTAAAGTTTCAGAATACTAAGTGTTGGCATGGATACAAACTCCTACCCAGGAAAGTAAACAGGCATCTTCATTTTGAGGAGCATTTAGGCATTGTCGAGGAGGGCTAATAATGTGCCTTATAGTTTTGTGCTTAGGCATTTACAGTACATAAAGAAACTCTTACCTGTGCAGCCAAGGAGGTAGGAACAAATGCTCATAACAATATCATTTATCAATAGCAGAAATGAAAAGTAACCTATAGTATAATTATGTATTAGGATACTATATAGAATATTACATAGGTGTTAAAATGAACTACATTTATATATATCAATGTAAATAAAATTCAGAATCATAGAATTTTTTAAAGTTGTAAAACAATTTATTGAGTATACCACTTGTGTATCATATCACAGATAATACCCACAATAATTTTAAATATATATAGGTAGACATATTTATC